ATGCCAGATGTTTGTTGCGCATTTGGTTGCAGCAACCGAAGAAGCACACAAAATGAAGGTTTAAGTTTTTATCGCATACCTACAATGGAAACAGAGCGAAAATCTGAACTTAGATTAAGATGGATTGCCGCAATTAGACGAGAAAAATGGTCAGAAACTGCAATTAAGAGTGCTCGGATATGTAGTGCCCACTTTGTAACAGGTTGATATTTTTTAAATTTTGGATTTTTACTAATCCAATTAAATATTGCATTTAGTTACTGCTTTGCACACTTTCATGTCACATTATGTGTGTTACTTATTTAGATATTTAGAAGCGAAAATTTAATTTTTTTTATACAAAAGAAATTTCATATGTTGTTTATTCTCACCATACAATATATAACGCGTATGAAAGAACTTGCGTGCTTTGTATGTTTTTTATACTAACATATAATATTCTATTGCTTTTTCTATTATTAGGAAAAAAATCTAATGATTCCCTTCATGTAGACTATGTACCATCAGTATTTTTATTCCATAAAATTGCTGAAAGGAGATCAAAAGCATCTGTTGAACGATATCGGCGATGTCTTCAACGTGGTTCTAATAAACAGAAAAATAATGTCACTAATTATAACACAAAGAAACCTGTCAATGTAAATAATTGTGAAAATGTATTATCCGAATCAAGTTCATCCGAATTAACGTTTGATTGCCAAGAACCGAACGAAAAAAGTTTAACTTCACTATGAAATTTTTTTATCGAATAATTTTATATTTTTTCCTTTGTTCAAACTTCGGAATTAAATGAGGGGTCATACCCTCTACGTCCCCGCAAACATAGCCTGTGCTATATAAATGATTGTTTATTGTGAGTTGAATTGTTGTTACCAAGTACTTCTCAGTACCAAGTACTATCTCAGGAAGAAGGAGGGGGGAGGTGCAAGGACCTTTGATCTTTTTAGTTATAAGTTATAATTTATTTTAGTAATAAGTTAGTGCAAAATGCCCCTTTTATTTTTATGGTAATCAAACATTTTAAACCCATGATATATCATACAGAGCATAATATTAGATCAATATAAATTTATTTAAATCAAAGTAAATTTATTTTTTATAAATTGCTTTTCTTAACCTTTTATTTCGTTTCAGGTACACAAACAGAAACAGAATCACATTGTTCTAAACTTAAATGCATCGTATCTAAACAAAAGATAATAATATCGTTGTTAAAAAAAAAATTGAAAAAAAATAGAATTGAGTCATTTAAATCAAAAAAAAATGTTAAAATTCTAAGGAGCAAGTTATTGGATTATAAAAATATCAAATTTGAAAAAAAACTTAACTTTTTAACAGGTCTACCAAAGTTTGAATTATTTGATTGGATTCTGTCTTTCATGAAAGACCAGACTGTGAATCAAGTTGTGAAATCGTTATCGTTTGAAAATCACTTATTGCTTACTCTAATGAAAATTAGACTTGGTGTTACAAACTATGATTTAAGTATAAGGTTTCACATCACAAAAAAAAATGTATCTCTTACAATCCGAAAATGGTTACCAAAATTATCTGAAGTTTTGAAAAATCTTATAGTATGGCCCAGTAAAGATCTCCTGAGAGCTAACTTACCAAAATGCTTCAAAAACTGTTGCTGCATAATTGACTGCACCGAAATATTTATCGCAAGACCATTAAATTTAACAGCAAGAGCACAGACTTACTCTACCTACAAGTCACACAACACAATAAAATATTTAATTGCTATGGCACCAGCTGGAACAGTAAGTTTTTTATCCGCAGGATGGGGAGGGCGGGTATCGGACAAAAAAATAACCCTAAAATCGGGATTTTTGGATAAGATAATCCATGGTGATTGCGTTCTGGCAGATAGAGGATTTTTAATCGAAGAGGAATTAGCTACAAAAGGAGCTGTGCTAAGAATACCTTCATTTACTAGAGGAAAAAGTCAATTATCAGCACGTGATGTAGATATATCAAGGCAGATATCTCATGCTAGAATACACGTTGAACGTGTTATTGGTAGATTAAAAACATTTAAAATTTTATCAACAAACATTCCAATATCACAAGTAGATTTATTAGATCATATCATGGTTATAATTTCTGGCATAATTAACTTGAATACTAGTATTATGAAAATGTAATAATATTTTTATAACAATGTTGTTAAATAGTATTTTAAATGTTGTCGGTTTTTGTTTTTATTCAGTTACAACCAAGCCATACCACAATGGGAACTATAAATCATAAAACAATTTTAATTCAAAACTTTATGTGTAATACCAAAAAATTAGAATAAAAATAAATAAATAAATAAAACGATAAATTATTTGTTAAGAGGTACCTAGAGTATTATAGGAGTACATATGGTATCCTATAAACTTCTTTTACTCATTTCAAACAAAGATTGTTTGAAAGAAAAACTAAAACTAAATTTAATTTATTAGAAAAAAAAAAGTAACATATGTTAAGGTATTTAAAAATTATGGTAAACAAT